TCTTCAGAGTGTTCTGGGTTGTATTAAGTCACATGACTTCTCAGTGTAGACCTTTCTCTGGTACTTTCTGTTATCTGCCTCAGTCCAAACCTAAATTAGGGATGGTCTTCTTGACAGAAGATTGCTGTGTGCTCCTGTTTGCAATTAGAGGGTGCTACTGACCACTCACTAGACGTCCCCTTCACATGGCCATCTCAGCATGAGCTCCCCAGCCTGGAGGACCCAGACCTTCATCACTGATCCCAGTGCTGACAATAGTATTTACTTCCAGGATTTGCATTTTCTCACAGCTCAGTTTCTTCTACTTTTCCTGTTTTCACTGTTGATTGTTAAAGAGTGTTCTGAATGAGCCAGTTCTCAATTAAAGATATAGGCGTTCAATTTCTACCAGTTTCTTGTTTTATTTCACCATGATGGCTTTTCAGAGTACATAATCTTCCATGTGGCAGAAACAAAATCATCTTATTTGTGCATTTAAAAAATATATATGGTTTCTTAATTTTCCTTGAGATTATGTAGATTCATTACCAAGTAATCTCATTACTTTGGTCACTTTAAAAAAATACATACATATATATATATATATATATATATATATATATATATATATATATACATACACACACACACACACACACACACACATACTAGATGACTGTTGTTTATTTTCTTTAAAAATTAATATTTAGGCATAGGTTCCATATTCATTTATTTTTGATCTTGTCATATTTTAATGGCTATGTGTCAAAGGATATTGTGAGGAAGGAATTGGCAACAACAACCTCGGTGTTGAAACTCGGCCTCAAACCCACATTCCCATTAAAGCACACGTTTCTGTGTCCGCATTGCTGAGGATAGGCCTGGGGTCAGCGTTTGGTGTTTCTCCTTCAGGAAGAGCAAATTGCTAGGATAGTTGACAGTAAAAGGTTTTCTGGTCACAGCTTCTCATTGTGGTAATTTAGAAATATTTGCTGAATGATGCACAAGTCAATGGACATGTCAATGTGCATATGTCATAGGCACTTCATATTCCCTATGACCAGCAGTGAGGAATTGTTTTCCCATATATATGTTCTCCACATCTGCTTTACCATCCATTTCATATCAATTTTCTGATCCCCATTTTTACTGTGCAATTAATCATACTATTTCCCCTTGTCTAGAGATATACTTCTAACTCCTCAGGCTGACACACAATGAGAACTTCTGTGATATTTTGCTCAACCTAGAAAATTAGAAACTAAGATTTAAAAAAAACAGAATTATTAAGAGCCTTGCCATGTCCCTTAGGAAAGATCAACAAAGGAGAGAAAGAGTTTTTATCTCTGGTATTGTACCATGTAGGCAGAGAGAGGCTTATTGATTTTAGTATACAGAAGCAGATCTGTTCTTTAAAAAAAAATATTTATTGTTGAAATAATTTCACATGGACCCCTTCTACCTACCCCTACCCCCTGCCCCCTGCCCCCTGCCAGCAGATCTATCTGTTCTTGAAAGGAGAGAAAAGCCTATTGCTTCTTCTTTGTACTGTAATATCATGTCCTGGCTGAGACCAAAGACCACAGTTACATGCTCAGCTGGAGGGCAAAAGCCTTCAAACTTCACATGATGTTATATAAAAATTAGAGGCCTGGTGCATGGAATTTGTGCACTGGAGCAGGGGTCCTTCAGCCTATCCTGTGCCCTCTCCCAGTCCTGAACCTCTAGGGGGATGTCTGCCTGCCTGCTTGTGGCTGGATGGCCCTTTGTTGCTGCATGGCCTGCTGCTTGAGCTTCAGCAGTTGTTGCACATGCATGGGCTGGGTCAGTGGGGCGTGAGGTGGCCTGGACAAGGGGTTTGTGGTGGTCTGCAGGACAGCCACGCCCCCTGGTCAACACCAAACTGTTTGGCCGGCAAACACCGTCAACTGGGTAAGTCAAATGCAGAGGCAAGCTCACCCTGAGTTCCATGCGCTTCCCTGAGTCACTGATTTGTTTTGACTAACTGCCTCCTACAGAGAATGGCACCAGGATTGGGCCTAAGCCAGGAGTCGGACATCCCTCTTGCAGTCCAGGACCCGTTGGGGGATGTAGCAGTGCATCAAGTGGCAGGCAGCCAAAGAGGAGCCTGAATCAGGGCTGGGTGCCATGCCAGTCACATTCATCCCAGCCTGCAGTGTCTGTTGCTGCCACTCGATAATGTTGTTGTGGAGTCAGGTGAGGCTACTGCCATGGTAGCTGCATTTACCAGCTGTGAGTCCGGCTTCTGGCTGAGTGGTGCTCCCCCTATGGGAGTGCACTGACCACCAAGGGGCAGATCCTTCATTGAGCATCTGCCCCCTGGTGGTCAATGTGCATTATAGCAACCGTTCATTCTGGTCATTCTGCTGTAATGATCACTTAGGCATATATCCTATATAACAAAGAGCTAATATGTAAATTGACCATCACTCCAACACACACGATGGCCATCCCCATGTGGTCAAAAATAGCTGCCACAAGATGGCCAGCAGGGGAAGGTAGTTGTAGGTGATCAGGCCATCAGGGGAGGGCAGTTGGGAGGAACCAGGCCTGCAAGGGAGGGCAGTTTAGGATGATCAGGCCTGCATGGGAGAGTAGTTAGGGGTGACCTGGCCTGAAGGGAAGGACAGTTGGGGTGAACAGGCCTGCAGGAAAGGGAGGTTGGGGCAACCAGGCCTGCAGGCAAGTATAGTTAGGAGCAACCAGTCTGGCAAGGGAGGAAATTTAGGGGTAATCAGGCCAGCAGGGGGGAAGTTTGGTGTTAATCAGGCTGGCAGGGGAGTGGTTAGGGCTGATCAGGCTGGCAGGCAGGCGAGCAGTTGGGAGTCAGTAGTCCTGGATTGTGAGAGGAATATTTGACTGCTCGTTTAGGGGATCTGGCATAAACAGGAAGTTGGACATCCCTTGAGGGGTCCCAGATTGGAGAAAGTGCAGGCTGGGCTGAGGGAACCCCACCCCTGCCGTCCATGAATTTCATGCACAGAGTCACTAATATACACACACTAGTAGCCCAGTGCACAAAATTTGTGCACATTAAAAGGGAATTAGAGGAAATCCTAACTAATAAAATCCTATCAAATAATATGCAAACTAAGCATCACTCTGCTACACCCACAGCCATGCCCACCAGCCATGCCTACCAGCCAATCAGAGCAAGTATGCAAATTAACCCCAACCAAGATGGCTGCAGCCACAGAGAGCAGGAAGGAGGCTTGGGTTTCCCCAGCAATGGAAGAAAGCCAGGCTTTCCACACACCCTGGCCAGCCCAGGCCTCCACTCAAGGGTACAAAGTTTCAATTATAGAAGGTTAAATCCCAAGAAAAATGGCGGCAGCCATGGAGCTGGAGAGAGGAGGCTAGGATTGCCCTGGGAGATGGAGGAAGCCAAGCTTCTGCAGCCCTGGTGGGCTCAGGACTTCACTCCAGGCTACAAAGTTTCAATTGAAGAAGGTAAATAAATTCTAAATACCAGGATCTCCACTTTGGTCTTCAGGGGGCATAGCCAGCCTGCAAACCACCACAGGCCCCTTGCCCAGGCCGTCCCACACCCCAAGGGAACCCCCGCCCTGATCTGGGACACCCTTCAGGGCAAACCAGCCGGCCCCCACCTGTGCACCAGGCCTCTATCCTATCTAATAAAAGAGTAAAATGCAGATTGACCATCACACCAGCACACAAGACCGATGCCCCCATGTGATCAAAGATCCTGCCCCCATGTGGACACAAGATGGCCACAATAAGATGGCCAGCAGGGGAGGGCAGTTGGGAGGAACCAGGCCTGCAAGGGAGGGCAGTTGGAAGCAATCAAGCATGCAGGGGAGGGCAGTTAGGAGTGACTAGGTCAGCAGAGGAGGGAAGTTGGGGGGCAAACAGGCTGCCAGGGGGGCAGTTAGACATCAATCAGGCTGGCAGGGCAGTGGTTAGGGGATGATCAGACTGGCAGGCAGAAGTGGTTAGGGGCAATCAGGAAGGCAGGAAGGTGGGTGAGCAGTTGGGAGCCAGCAGTCCTGGGTTGTGAGAGGGATGTCCCTCTAGGGGTCCCAGATTGGAGAGGGTGAAGGCTGGGCTGAGGGACACACCCCCATGCACAAGTTTCATGCATTGGGTCTCTAGCATTTTAATATTGATATTTGCCCTTTCTCTATAATAGAAGTATCAGAGATGAAAGAAAATTCATAAAATGTATATGAAAATATTCCTCCTGTCAAGAGTCTGGGCACCCTGCAGAACCCAGAGTCAAGTCCCTGCCCACTCACATGCACCTGGAAATCACGCAAGACCTAGACCTCGGCCCCACCCCATTGAGCATGATCCATACTTGGCCAGCCCCACCCCCTTCAAGCCCCACTGTGTGTGTGTGGGGAGGGTTGCAGCTTCAGGTCCCACGGCCTGATGTCTGGGCGGGGGGCTCGTCCTGAGGTCCCCCAGCCTGGCACCAGAGTGGGGGATGCGTTCTGAATTTTCCCGTCAAACCCAACCAGGCAGGGGGCACAACCTCAGGTCCCCTGCCCTGGCTGGGCGCCATACAGCCTCAGGTCCCTGTTGATTGCTCATTACAGCTCGTTACAGGAACCGCGCCTCCATTGCAGGTGCAGCCATCTTGTGTTACGGGAACCCTGCCTCCACTGTGGGCACAGCTATCTTTGTGATGGTGTGATGGTCAATTTGCATATTACCACTTTATTTTATTATATTAATTATATTATATATTCTATTATATATAAGAATTATGATGATAATTATGACTTAGAGATACAATTTACATGGACAGAAGAAACCCAAATCTTATTAAAATGATACAGGAATTTGGTGTGAACCTTTGTGTGTGTGTGTGTGTGTGTGTGTGTGTGCGTGCAAAATTTCTTAGCATAACCAGTCACAAGAAGTTATTGAAACAACAGTCACAAAAGGAATTATATTGGTAATCCATAGGAAACAGTTAGTGAGAACAACAAGTATGATTTAATACATCTTGAACAAAATAGCCCAATCTAATTTACCTGGGAATGTCGTTGTGATGAAATTTTTAAAATCATTTAATTTATCCTTTTGTGTATCCGTCTGGAACTTGACCTTTAGGATGTAAAAATTGCCAAACTTGTTCTTGAGGTGCTGCGGGCTGCCCAGACACACAAACTTTCCCTTCACCATCATGGCCAGTCTGGTACAGAAGGCATCGCATTCCTCTACTCTAGTAAAATAAAATATCAGAATAATGTAAAATTGAAACATTCTCTGTTGGAGGGCCTTCTATAATTCAAGATTTTACAGGGAAGTAGAATTTGCCAATCATAAAGCTCATACTTGAGAAGTGGAAATTTTTCAAATAATGAGTATGAAACCCGCCCATAGAACATCTGAACTCCTTGTCTTCTCCCCACTCTTTATTACATAACTTAATGGATTCTTAACTCTTCCACTGATTAGGAATAATGAGGAGCTCACATTCTCAAGCAAGTTTGGTGTTCAACATTTCTAGCTCCTCCCCCGCTAAATTCTCTTTACCACCACTAGTGCTTGCCAACTGTCTTCTGAGCCTCCCAGTGAGTCACACCTGTGGGAGGTGAAAATAATGGTTTTTCCACTTTGACGTGCTTGTGTCACATTGTCCCAGAGCAGACGTCGGGCTATTGGGTCCATGCCAGTTGATGGCTCATCCAGAAAAATGACTGTGGGTTTTCCCATCAAGGCAATAACACTACTCAGCCTACGTTTGTTTCCTCCACTTCATGGTCATAGAAGGAGAGAGAATGCAGGGAAAGGGGAGGATATATAAATCAGTTGCTTATAGGATAGTAACATTTCAATGTTGAGAGCACAAAACATGGATATGCACAGCAAGCACAAAACATGGATATGCACAGCGCTGGTTAAATGTGGCTTCAAAGAGATAGCAGGCTCAAGTACAGATTTATATATCAATTACTTGTTTCATTTGAAATGGAAAGGAGTGACTGTTATTAACTGATTTTAGCAATATTATCACTGACATTTACTTACTAGTTCTTAGGGTGTTCTGATTTTCCAGGTACATAAATCCCACCATAATTTGTAGGAACACAACCATAGGTCCAGTAGGAAGAATAAGATGCTTCCCTTTGATATTCAGAGACTATGGTTCAATCATAACTGAGATTTTGAGTTTCATCTCTGTATAAGAGAGACATGGAACTACACTAATCTGTCTTATTACTTCGTTTTAACCTAACAACTCACTAGACAGTTTCACAATTAAATAAATGTGTGATAAAGAGAATTAGGTGATGTTGTAGGCATTTATTTCAAACATCAGAAGCACAGAGAAGCATCACAACATTATCAGCCACAATGAAAAATCAGAATATTGACTCACCTGTAGGTTTTGATAATCCTGTCAGCATAGGACTCCAGTTGCAATGAAGTCAACTGATTGTTCACATACAGCTGAATCTGGGACTCCACAACTCCCCATAATCTGGCAAACATGATCATTGTTTCCCGACCAGTCATAAATTCCAGCAAGGCATCTGACTGAGGACAATAGCCAATTCTTGACTTCACCTGATTATAAGAATTGCCTTGATAAGGACCCATGTCATCAGTCCCACTGAGCATTTTTTTAAGGAGATAGAAGACCTTCAGTTCTCCAGGCTATGCTTCTAAGAGTAGTACCAAGGATTTTCTTTTCTAAAAACTACAAAGTTATGACAAGTGGATCTATTGTCACAAATTAAAATAACAGATTCCCCAATTTAGTTTTAATGATCTGGAGGATAAAAAAGTTAGAAATAAAATCCTACAGCACCACTAAATTTGGAGCATTAGAATATAAGATTCTACCCCCATTAACGAAGAATTCCAAGGCGCATGGCCACAAGGGATGTTGTTGCTCTGACGAGGTTGTAGTCATTGTAGAACTCGTTTCATAGGAAGGTGAACTGGAAGCAAGCCTTTCCCACTCCCAAATTCAGGCTAATTCAATGAGTTCCTTTATCAATTAACCAAGCCTTTTATATATTTGTCCTCAGATGTACATAGACTAGATATCCAGAGAAAATATATGAATATTAGTTTATTAAAATTAATTAAACAGTTTAAATAAAGTTATTTTAAATAACTAAAATTCATAGCTCTTCTGTGGGATTTTATTAATTCATTTACAGTGATCCTAGACTCTTGGCAGAAATTAACTAAACTCTTTATTCTAGGTATGAAATTATTCTCTCATATAATTTTTTAACATAAATGAGCTATATGCAAAGATAAGTCAACAAACAAGAAAAAATAACACGAATGCCAATATCAGAAACATTTGTAATAACTACAGGTATTGGGATTAGTAGATCAGATTAAAAACAATGATAGTACTTATTATATTTAAATAAATTTTTAAAGTTTAAAAATATTTGATAAAAGAGGAAAGTATAAAGTCATGTAGACCTTTTAGAAATGAACCATATATCTAAACATCTAGAAATGAAAAAAAAGAGTCATATTACAATTTCTGTGAATGGGTTGAATTTAGTTACAATGAAAAAAATTAATCTGATAAAGATAGATCATAAGAAAGTTTCTAGAATGCAGCACAAAAATAAAAAGTGTGGAACGAATAAAGTAACATTGAAAGATTAGGATGATAAACTAGAAATATCGGATCTGGATAACCAGAATTGCAGCTGGACAGAAAGATGAGAACAAGAGAAATATGTGAAAACTAATAAAACTTATACAGAACTAATTTAACTAAATAAAAAATACATTCAAGAATGTCATTAACTTCCAAGAGAATAAAAATCTGAAGATCCACATCTAAGTGCTTCATATTGAAGCTTATGTAAATCAAAGAGAAAAATTATAAAGCAGCCCATAGAGGAAAAAAGATAATATGTCGTAATGACAGCTGATTTCTTAAAAGCAGTGGTGGAAGCTAGGTGATAGTGAAACAACATAATAATTTGCTCATTAAATATAATTGCAGCCCTAGTTGATTTGGCTCAGTGGATAGAGCATTGGCCTATAGACTGAAAGATCCAGAGTTTGATTCTGGTCAAGGACATATGCCCAGGTTGCAGGCTCAATCCCCAGTGGTGGATATGCAGGAGGCAGCCAATGGATGATTCTCTCTCATCATTGGTGTTTCTATCTCTCTCACCCTCTCCTGTCCCCTCTGAAATCAATAAAAATATATTTAAAAAATAATAGTAATTGCAAACCTCAAATTCTACACACAATGAAAATACCTTTTTCCAGTGAGGGTGATTTAATGGCATTTGCAGAAAGAAAGTGAAAACAAATAATAAAAGGCTTTCTCCTGAGATTGAGATGGAGAAACTGCCTGCAATTGCCATTGCTATTCAATGCAGAGTAGAGGCTCTAGCCCTCACTGTAAACAAGGAAACCAGCATAGGATTGGGAAGGAAAACAAACTTGGCTATTTGCAGGTGGTCATGATTGTGTAAGTAAATATTCTAATATAATTTATAAATAAATATTAGAATTAAGAGAATTTAGCAATTTTGTTGAACAAGTTCAGAATTTAAAAGTCTATTGTACTACTATAGATCATCAATAAGGCATAAAAAATAAAATCATTTAAGTTAATATTAAAACAAAATACATTGAAATGAACTGTACACAATAAGCTGAATTCTCTTATCAATGTAACATCCATGCACAACTATTAAACTATTATTCTGAGGCACTTATTGAGAAACAAATTTATGGAAATGACATATGTACTATAAATATGTCATTCTTCTGAAATGCACACTCAAAGTCTCAATAAATATATGAAAAGATAGAATATTTCTCAACATATTCATAATTTTAAAAGTTAAAGAATAACCAAAGTAACATTGAAGAACAAACGTTTCACTGTTAAATAGTATGACTTATTATAAGGCTACTATAATTAAGAAAGTGTAATACTGGCTAAAGGCTAAAATAAATAAACCTATGAAAAACAACATAGTCCAGAAACTGACTCATATTTAGGTAACACTTGATAGTTGACAAAGTTGACATTGTAGAGGAGTTGGAACAATGATAATCTCTCACCAAAATGTGCTGGTCAACTGATTATATGTTAGAAAAAAAAATGAATATTTACCCTTATGGACAGTATGCAAATGAGTAATAGATTTAAAGGTGAAATGTAGGCCTTGGTTGTGGACCCACAGCCAGGACTCCTTCCGCCCCAGAGGCAGGCTCCTATGAGTTTTGGAGCATGCTTCCCTCCCACTGGCTCAAAGCTTTAGCCCGGGTACTGCAACCACAGCAGCAGCTACTGCCACAACTGCATAAGCAGCCATCATCACAAGAAGGGGAGAAGAAGCTGCTGCCTGCAAATGCCCAAGAAGCATTTGCCACTGTGACCACAAAAGCAGCCACATGAGCAGTTGCCATTGCAAATACCCGAGGAGCAGCCACATGAGGAGGCACCACCACAACTATTCAAGCCAAGCCAACAGTTTTGACCCCAGGCCTGGTGATCATGTGAAAAACTGCCAATGCTTTGACCCTAGGAGCCATGACTGTGCAACCCAATACCTAGATCCTTTGGTGAGAGCAAAAATAGGGACACAAAAAATAACCAACCAAGAAAATAAAAGGAGGAATTGCCAGAAAATGAACTAAATAAAACAGGCATGCAATATGTCAGAAAAAGAATTCAGAATAAGTTGAATTCATATAGCTCACAAAGCAGATGAATGAGAAAATCAACAATTTATGTTAGAATCAAATGGAAATTAAAAACAAAAAACATCCGGGACCGGTTTGGCTCAGTGGATAGGGCGTCGGCCTGGGGACTGAAAGGTCCCGGGTTCGATTCCGGTCAAGGGCATGTACCTTGGTTGCGGGAGCATCCCCAGTAGGGGGTGTGCAAGAGGCAGCTGATTGATGATTCTCTCTCATTGATGTTTCTAACTCTCTATCCCTCTCTCTTCCTCTCTGTGAAAAATCAATAAAATATATTAAAAAACAAACAAACAAACAAACAAAAAACATCATGGGAGACTTCAACACTAGATTAGAAGAAGCAGAGAACTTAATTAGTGAATTAGAAGACAGGGCAGCAAAACCCACCCAACATGAATGACAATTGGAGAAAAAAATTTAAAGGAGACTTTGCCTGTGACCCAATAGGTGTTCTATCTTTGGTAAAACATGAAACAAGCAACATATGTATAATAAGGGGTGCCATAATGACAAGAGTAAGGGTTAGAAAACCTATTTGAAGAAATAGTGTCAGAAAACTTCCCTGCTGAAACCAGTTTGGCTCAGTGAATAGAGGGTTGGCCTGCGGACTGAAAGGTCCCGGGTTCGATTCCAGTCAAGGGCATGTACATTGGTTGCGGGCACATAGGGGGTGTGCAGGATGCAGCTGGTCGATGATTCTCTCTCATTGACATTTCTAGCTCTCTATCTCTCTCCTTTCCTCTCTATAAAAATTCAATAAAATATATTAATAAAAAAAAGAAAGAAAAGAAAACTTCCCTGATTTGGGGAAGTAAAAAGTCACACAAGCATAGAGTCCCAAGCAAGATGAACCCCAAAAGACCCACACCAAGACACACCATATTTACACAATGACAAACATTAATGACCAAGGGAGAATCTTAAAGGCTGCAGGAGATACAGAATGTTACTCCTAAGGGATCTCCTATTAGATTATCAAATAATTTCTCAACAGAATCACATTAGGCAAGAAAGGAATGAAAGAAGTATACAAAGTGATATAAAGCAAGGGGATGAACCCAGGAATACTCCATACAGCAAGGCTATCATTCAAAATTGAAGGGAAAATCGGGAGCTTCATGGGGAAAAAAAAAAAAAAAGGCTAAGGTAGTTTATCACTTTATTTCCAGCAATGCAAGAAATGCTAAAAGGATTCTTGTAAAAAGAAAAAATTTAAAGAGAAGAAGGAACATAGGCACTAAAATAAAAATGGCTACAAACTAGTACCTATCAATAATAACTTTCAACGTAAATGAACTAAATGCTCCAATCAAAAGACACCAAGTGGATGAATGGATAAGAAAACCTGACACATATATATGCTGCCTCCAAGAGACCCACCTCAGAACAAGAGACTCACACAGACTGAAAGTGAAGAGATGGAAAAATATCTTTTAGGCAAATGGAAATGAAAAAGAAAAAAGAGGCTGGGGTAGCAATACTTATATCTGACAAAATAGACCTCTAAGTGAATGCTATAATGGGAGATAAGGAGGGCCACTTCATAATACTAAAGAGGTCAATACAACAAGAGGATTTAATTCTGGTAAACATATATGCACCCAATGCAGGAACACCCAAATTCATAATAAATATCTGGAAGATGTCAAGGATAGATTGACATCAATACAATCATAGTAGGGATCTTTAATGCCTCATTAATATCACTGGATAGATCCTCTAGGCAAAACATCAGCAAAGAAACATCAATCCTAAATGACTCACAAGATCAAATGGACTTAATTGAAATCAACAAAACATCTTCAGAACAGCTCATCCAAAGCTACAGAATATACATTCTTCTCGATAGCACATGGAACATTTTCAAAGATAGAACACCTATTGGGTCACAGGCAAAGTCTCTATAAATACAAGAA